TACTTAGTAGAATTTAGAGAATAGAGTGATTATTTTTAGAGAAAATTTGGTACAAGTGATCGTTAGGAAGAGTTAGTAATTTGCATTCTTGTTTTTCTCAAAGATTTAATAAAATTTTAATATAGCTTTTATTATAATATTTTTAAAAACTTTAAATAAAGATGCCTTGACAACCACTAAACTAACTTTAAAAAATTTTTTATTTTAATTCTATAATTTCATAAAATTTGAATAAACAATTTTTATTAATTTTAATTTGATAGTTGTCAAGATATCTTTATTTAAAGTTTTTAGTATAGCTTTATTTAAATAAATTTAAATTGTTCTTAAAACTTTAAATAAAAATACTCAACAACCACTTGACTAAATTTAATAAAATTTTTTATTCTAGTTTTACAGATGCTTAACAATTTTTATTAATTTTAATTAAATAGTTGTCAAGATATCTTTATTTAAAGCTTTTATTTAAATTTTTTTAAAACTTTAAGTGAAAATATCTTGATAACTATCTGATTAAATTTAATAAAATTTTTTATTCAAACTTTACAAACCTTAGAATTCAGATAAAAAATTTTATCAAATTTTGTTAGGTAGTTATTAAAATATCTTTGCTCAAATTTTTTAATATAGCTTTTATTTAAATATTTTAAAATCAAGAATTTTGGTCAAAGATATCTTAACAACCACCTTACAAAATCTAATAAAAAATTTTTTATTTAAATTCTATAAATTTGTAAAATTTAAATAAGATATTGTTAAATATTGCAGGTTGTTATATCGCAAGTTAATATAATCAACCAATTAGATCACAGAATCTTGTATAACAAAAATAAACGAAAAAATTAGAAAAAATTAAGAAAAAAAGTCAAAATTTTATATATCTCAAAATTTCATTATGTAAACTAATCTTGGGCTTTTAATTAAAAGGTTTTCAGCACTTAATTTTGCATATATATGTTTTCTAATATTAGCTTGAACCCTAACTCTAACTAATAATAATTTTAATTGTTTTTTAAAGATATATTAATCTGTGATATCACAACTTGCTAAATTTAACAAAAACCAAAATTTTATTAAATTTAATATAATAGTTATTATGCTAGTTTTAGTTAAAGTATAAAAAAAATTAAATAAATAGTACTAAAATTAATAATTTTAATTAGTTGTTAATTGATTTGTGCAACCTCTCTAAACTGTCAATTTAATAGTTACCTCTCTTTAACAAACCCCTTATTTTGGATAAATGATATATATCACTTACTGTATTATCATATACAATATAAACAAACAGTAAAAATCATAAAAAAATTGGTTAATTTTGTAATAATGATGTTTTTTAACCTTATTTTTAACCACCCTTCAAATTTCATAAAAAGATTCTTTGAATGCAAAAAAAACTTTACAAAATATTTTCCAGAAATTTAACCAATAACTCCTTTATTATTAAATATACTTAAAAAACAAAATTTTATTTAAATATTACATATGAAATTTATTGTGTGACTGATATTTTATATTATGCTATCTTACACAACTATCATACTAATGAAAAATCTTTGTGATTTTAATATATTTTTAATTTCTAAAGAATTTCTATACAACACGTATAATAAAAATATATACAACCTGATTTCTTCTTTCTATACAAACGTTATTGATCATTATTTTAAGCTTTTTTTACGTTTTTTTTGTTCAAAAAGATTTAGTCAACGTAGTGATTGTAATTTACTCATAACTTCGGTAGGTAAATTTTAATACGAAGGTCGAATGATTTAGAATGATTAAGCTGGTATTATTATAGTCCAGTATGAAAACTTCAAGTTCACTTAGTACGCTTGGCTGGGTTCACAAAAGAGGAGCTTCCGAAAAAAGTACTGTAAAACGTATAAAAAAATTCCGAATCAATCTACAAACTCTCGGGACGTTCCTACCTCGAAGGTTAGAGTTACTTTTTTGATGCAATTATGGTTAGTAGGTTATATAAATATCAAGAATGCAACTTATGCTTAATCAGTGTTTAAAATTCAAAAAAAATCCAAAAAAATTTCGTGCACATGTGCATCTATTTTAAACCCTGTGCTTAATACACTTACAGTAAAAGCAATATAAATTATGACCTTTAATTGTGTAACATTTTGGTTATTGTAAACATTTATCACATGATTAGAATTTCGAGATATATTTACGTGAAGTCTGGAAATCGCAATTGTGCGGGAAAGCAAATGGATATCAAAAGCGAGACCAGTCCAATGAACGCGTTAAAACCTTATGGAAGGGGATTTAGACAAAAAAAACGTAGTTTGATTCTTCTACTATATTTTACTTGTAACTTTAATCCGAACGATGTCTTAATATAACAATTTATCTCAGGTTCTTTGACTTCTATAACAACTTCGTCTTCAAACACTGATGTAAACGCAAAGTTTGGATTCGGACCTCCATTCCTTTTTTCTCTTCCTGAACCAATCGATGATCCTTGGAAGCTCAAGTCTGAGTTGACCTTAAGAGACATTGGCGCGAGACCTGTGTCCACACATGCTTTACGTCGTATACTAGAAAGAAGAAAAGTACATAATTTTTTTGATAGTGCTCAAGAAAAGTCTAAGAAAAGTATGAAAGAAAGAATTGAAGAAACAAGCGATGATGAGGTATAAAAGTATAAAAACGTGGATATATTACTTCCTATTAATTTGGTATATATATATTTATCTATTTTTTTTTTATCTAAAGGATAGTAGAACCGCGTGTTCTAATCGAAAATTTAAAAATAAACCAAATAATGATCTTGTACATAATATAAGCCGGTAGCGCACAATATATATTATTGTTTTGATATAGTTAAATAATTGAATCATTAGGTTCGCACACCTAATATACATCGTGTTCAGGTTGCTCGATTTGGGACCAAGGATCTTTCTTGTTATTCTACTTTATAAATCTGTTGAATTCCTGTGGACTATACAGCAAGCAGTAGATGTGAAGGTTGATGAATACTCGCAAGGTTGGTGTAATAGATGCAGATATTAATGTGCCAAAAAATCTATTTAATTATAATATTCTTTTCATTAAAACCTAGAAATACTAAAATCAATATCAGAATGTTCCAAAAATTATCTTGAAAACCGATGTGCACCCGGAGATAGGGTTCCGGCATTAGAGAGTGTATGCACACAGTGGGAAAAATATCCTTTTAATTTTATTTATTTATTTTTTTTTTAAATATTATTTTCTTAACAATGATTACGTGTATGAACCGTGATCCCACCGTGTTTGCAAGGTTAAAATCAATTGTATATATAATATCTACCTATGTCTGAATGCATCCAAATCCTAACATGGTAAAGAATTCAAATATTAGGGCCAAAATTTCTGCAGAAGCATTTGGCGAGATAATCAATAACCTAATGGAGCAATTTTCATATAAAACAATGGTAAAATTATTATGCAGTGTGATTTACATTTATAAATTACTTGTTCATTTATAGTGTACATTATATTTTAAAGCTTTTTATGGTCGGCATTATCCTTGCCATATTTTTGTCTCGAGCCCTTATTGAACTATTCAAAACACGGTTTCTTAATAATTTTCCGCCACAAGCGTCCAATACACATCCTGGCATGCATTCTATGCCTTCACCAACTCCTATGACACCAATGCATTCAGTTTCTCCAATTCAGCATCATGTATCTCCCAGTACTTCAATAGAGAACCCGATGACATCACAACATAATAACGTTGGAGTGTATTACGTTGTAACACCAACACGTTAGCACAAGTAAATTCATGTCAGTTCGAGGATTTTAAATTTTTTTATTACCTTTAACCTCGTTTTCACATTGAATCACTGTAAGAATAACTACATTTACCTGATATTGCTCGTTTTCTTCGTCATAATACATAAAAAATATTCAAATTATGATTTCAGATTTATAAAAATTTTGTTAAAGCATTTTATTTATTAAATGTAAATCGTGAGACTAGAAATAAAAACCCTAAATAAAAAACAATCGATTGACGCGTAAGGAAGATTCGACCAATGTCAAAAGAATATTCACGTGACCAAGTATAAATCTAGTCGTCGTAGTCCTAGCAAAGATATTAGATTAATTAAAATGAAATTTTTGCACTAGTAAAAGCTTCAGTATTAAAAGTACATACACGTCTGTACATCTCAGTTTTAGTACCAAACAAACCCGTTTTTGTTTCTATAACTTCCTCGTTTCCACAATCATCAACATACACGGTTTCTGTTTTCTTACTAAATAAACCATCAGATTCATATGTTTCGACTGGTTTTTGACCAATATGATTATGCACAAATTCATGTCTTCGTCTTTCTTCTTTTTCGTGTTCTTCATGCTTATGTTCTTTATAGCTTTCCACGGCTTCCGTTGCAAGGAAACCACCAAGTAAACCGACACCAGCAGCACCTTTCCAAAATCAAAAAAATAAATGCTGTGTTGTTGCAAGGTACAGTATATATGCATACTGCTTTCTTCCTATTGATTAA